ATTCGTAAATTGGAGGTGCCGCGGAGTGATTATCAAAAATACGTGAGCACTGGAGCTTTCCAGGTGTTCTGGAGCTTACTTGTTGACGCCTTAATCCCAAGGCTTGAAGACCACATCGCAGGTTCTGGGCTGGGGTTAACAGCCACATTTAGCCACAGTTGGGGAGGCGGGGGGACATGTCGGGCGGGTCCACGGGTACTCGAAGATATCAAGCAAGATGATATTTCGATACGAGATATATAATTGCAGAAAGCTATTCCAGAAGCAAAATTTCTCATCCCTCCTCTTGAAGTCTTGGTCAGATCCAAACTTATCGCCACTTTCACATGAGGTGTCAAGTACGACAATGTATGCATTAATTGCAGTAAGATCAACCCCTACCTCGCCTGTTGTCACCGACTGTTCATGATCACATCAAGCAAATCCTTCGGGTGTGTATAGCAGAAACTGCTCACCTCATCTCCCGCAGCTATAATTTCGTTGTGCAGTAATTTCCAAGCTCGGCTGTAAGCTTGATCCGTACTACATACGCCAATAACATCTTCAGCTTCCAGCTATCTCCGCGTGTCTCTTGCTCTATACTGTTGAGGACTGAATGCAGATTTCCATACTTACAAGATTACAATGTCTGTAGCTATGTACTGAAATATTCAAGTCTTAGATATCTATCTATGAGAATGGATGTTCATACTATTCAGAAACTCTTATTCTATTCAAGATTCAAGGACAAATCACAAATCATTCTTTCCATTTATTTAGTCTGATGTCTACTCCGTACCTACGACTGAAGCCCATCACTCATACACACATTGCAGCCGCGAGCGATCATGCCGAGTATCATAACCAATCATTCACCGCGCTTACCTCTCATACCTAAGCGCAATCCTCCCAGCCCTATTTATGTTATCGGGAGGATTTTTCATTCCGGAAGGATTTAGACAAGGAGGGAGTCTCGGGAATCATCCATCTAGTTGGTTTTTATATCACGTGAATTCACACCTTCTCTGACATCAATGGGATGAATTATATTGAGCGAATAATGGAAGAAAATAGAAAGTGAGCAAGAAATTTGTTTGCTATTCTAGCTATGCTGAGTTTCCAACAGTACGGGTCTGCTGTTTCAGCTTATAGGATAGACTCAGGTAGAGAGAAGTGAAAGAAATTGTAAAAAATATGACGAAAAAATCAGAAACAGAAAAAATGTGATGCCAATAAAAAGAAAAAGACATTGCCCAAAAAGAAATCTAATCGACGCTGTTCGTCAGGAGTGTTGATACATGAAAATTCAAAATCAGAAATGATCTGCTCTATAATTCAAAACTGTTTGCCCAATATTCAATCACCGCTGCTATGCAATCTTACGCTGTTCCTGAAAATGCTGACAATGACTCCGAAAACTGAATGCTGTTGTTGTGTACGCCGAAATTCTCAATATCGTACAGGGTGTAAAAGATGCTGGAGAAAAAGGTATGAAAGGATGAAGCAGTTAAGAAACATATCTTCCATAATCATCAAGATATTGTTGCATATGCTCCGATAACTGATACCCCTGTGTTGTTTCTGCACGACGCAAATATCGGATTGCTTGAGTGAAAGCATGTTCATCTGCTGGAGATGCAGATACGTTGCCTAGACTCATATGTGATTCTGCAGCCTGATTAATTGTTAGATTAGATTCTCTGGACATGCGTGAGGGCTGCGACTTACAGAAGCCAATAGGTCACCAGTAGTATATCCAAGACCATCAGCAGCTCGAATGGCCCGAGTGAAGAAATCCACAGCTGGTTGTAGATAACCTCGAGCTTCGACATAGAGGGGCCCTTGTCTGCGGGGGTCATTGGGCGGTGCTAGAGAAGATGAATTGTCAGAATCGTATTCTGAGAAGTAAGTTTCTAAGTCAGAAGTACCTGTGGTATCATTTCCTTCTTCGTAATGAATGCGGGCTAAAGTTGCTTGAGATCTCTGAAGCCAATTGTTGCCCAGCCCTAATATGATAGTTGTGTTAACAAAATGTCTGTCTAGAGGCAGTAAGATATTATGTTGACTTACCCGTCAAGACGTCAACATTATCCGGGTAGTTTCTCAAAACTCTCAACCATGCATTCTGGCAGAAGTCTGCAATATCTACAACACTTCCATTATCTGCGTCATAGAAAGCAAAGCTTTGAAGTCCCTGGATGATCCAGACCTGCTCAGCAAAGCGTGCTGGGTCGCGAAAGAAGCGAACATGTTCGAGAGCAGTGACAGCTGAGCGAGCAGAGGGAATATAGGTTTCACATTCATGAGGTCTAGATGAGACAACTTCGTTCAGTAAAGTGATAATGCCCTTGACTTGCTCCACCATATCCTCGGGATTGCCCTCGGTGCTTCTTGATTGATGACGGGAAGATTTTGAGTTGCGAGACATGATTGAGTGGTGAAGTTATAGTGTTAGATGGAAAAGTATGAAGAGGTAAGGATGGATAATGACGGTGAACTTCGATAAGTGTTAAAAGTATTAGTTGCAATGTTGCAAAGATCTGTTAATGCCTGATGTATTGAATAACGAAATCAGTGAGGACATATCCTCATCTATATAGATACTCTTAAATGAAATGCACGAAGATAGATATTTGATAAGAGCATTTACTCCATCATGGCATATAAAAAGCTCAGCTTGAGCAAGATCCCAAAACGGATTAGACAGGAATCGAGGAATCCTGCGGCACTCATGGCAACAAGGAGGTACCGAGATGGTGAATCTGAGCTGACTACCAGCACTAGTTACATCGAACAATTTCGATACCCGAACTTGGGATTCTGGATCTCGATTGAGATGTAGTGAACCTTATGATTCATATATTACACAGCCCACGTCGAATACGGAGCATTTCATGAAAAGTTCGGCGAACTGAAGACGCAACTACTATGAAGAGCCTATTCGCGATGCATCCTACAAGAGTTGTATGGTATCCATGACTGCTAACGATATATCATTGGTGACGCGGATGAGGACACAGAACAAACGGTCGTTTGTACTATCCCATGAAAGGCCATTCCCAGGACGGGGAGGCCGTAGCTCAATTGCTGATATAATAGAAGACTAATGCAAGTCACTTATATCTAAGCATCTGTGTGTATATCTTTAGAAACGGTTGATGAACCATGATGAAATTGTCATGATTTTGTCATGATGAGAACGGACAATTGATCATTAGCGAACCATCCCGTGATGAGTTTTGGTGGTCACCGAGTCACCGTGCAGGGGTAAACCATTTTGTAAGTGCCTTGGAAATTCTTATTCGATTTTTATTCATCCCAACTACTTTGAACTCAAATTGCTTTGGAAGGATAACGAACATACTCCGTATGCTCCGTATGGGTATCAAAGGTATCAAAAGTATCATGTTTACCATATTTGTCATCAACTAGGTTAATTTCATCAGCATTTTATTCTGTACGAAGTTCCAGGATCTATTCGTCCAGTTTCTTTTGCTTTCGCTCCCTCCTTCTCATCCATCGATTTGACTAAGGTAAATCTAGATCTCTGAGCGCTATGTCATTTTCCTTCCCTCATTCATGTTGAGGTATCCACCAAAGATTATCGTAGATCTAAATCGATTTGTAAGCTCTGATGTATGCGTGTTGATGCTTTCAACATGTGTAGTAAGCTTTCACTTCCCTGGTACGTCGACTTAGGTACTCATTGCTCAGCCTTACGGATCATTGGATTCATCAACCTCCTTGGGATCTAAACGAATATTTACCAGAAACGTTACAATATGCAAGACAGCTCGGAAAAGGAATATATTTGGAAATGTAAGTACGAGCGCCCTCTGATGATGGTTACCATCGTATTTGCATGCAACAAGAATCGTGTACAATACGATCAGATCCACCATCACGACAACTTCTAATGCTCACCAAAGGATTCAAAGAGTAAATCATTACTACAACAATTCTACCACTCATCTATCTTTTCACAGGCATTGAAGCTCCTGGCATAAGAGGCAAATGACCATTGTGGAATACCCATCGCACTCGGATTATGATTATTGCCATTTCGGTCTTCGGTCATCACCTCTCTGCGCGCATCACTCACGAAATAATCGAAAACGACTAGATTCTGGAAGAAAGAAGAACACATATGACGTTACCGCAAGTTTGGGATCTGCTTACATGGCCCGCAGCGACACTGTAACCTTATATAGCTGGAAATGCGAAAAATATTATTCGCCAATTATCTTATCCTTTTTGCGTGCTAATCTTTCTTCCCATGGCGGCTTATGTTGCTTGCCAGTGGTAGGTACTGAGGCTGGAGATAGACTGTAGATGTGGCTGACTATTGAAAGCTGCTTGAAAATGATGTTTATAATGACATGAGATTTTTGATGGCTATGACATAAAATCCCACTCAAGGCCAAGCATTATTGATCGAGCAAAAGTCTCGAATGACTGTATCTCTATGCTTTCAATGTATGACTGCACTTGTTGTAGTATGACTGGAATATTTTTCTCAAAAGTCCTTTTGTCGAAAAGATTGATCGATTGGTCCCAAATCCGTAATGACTTAATAGGGGGCGACAATGAAGTTCGGTTATTAACGTGATGCGACTAATTCTAGGAGGTTTACAAAATGTATCAGGAAGGGCGTGATCGTTATCTTTTCAATGCCATGTGGCTCTGCACTCCTTCCCTCTTGGGCTAGCTTATTTTAACCGTAAATCTAGAAGCTTCTGGTTTTGGAGTTCACCTTATACATCAGACTTCGTCTACAAATCTCTAAGATATTATATCAGAAACTTTGATACCAGAGTGAGGAAAGTTGTATTCTGATTGTTCTTTCCCTCGGATAAGCGCCCATTCACCGAGGCTACCACAGACTCTCAAAAGGAATCTGAATTGGATGAAATTCCTAGACTTCATTTCACTTCTCAAACCAAACGCTTGATTCGATTCCAGAATTAGAAGTCGGCCAGAATTCTCATATAATCCCTCAAATCTTTCAAATCTCAAAAACCATGACCGAACGCACCCATCTAGCTTTTCATCATGACTCACATCTGTCTACCCTCCAAACCACCATCACATCCATAAGTCCTTTCCTGACGCTTTCCGAGGAAAACAGATTACTTTTCAAAGATGGCAAGGACGACTCATACGTCATCATAACCCAATCTACCATTTTCCACCCCCAAGGCGGTGGTCAACCATCCGATGAAGGCATTATGGAGAACGAAGAAGGAAGCAAATTCAGCGTCCAAATGGTACGTATAAGCGCCACCACCGACGGAGAAGTTCTCCACTTCGGTTCATTCACCACTCCAGCTCCCACTCAATTTCTCCCGGGTCAAGAAATCACCCAGAAAATCGACCTGGAAAAACGTCTCTTGTACTCTCGTTACCATACCGCCGGCCATGTTCTCGGATCTGCAGTTCGTCATCTCGTTTCCTCTTCTGTTCCCAATTTCGACGAAACGAAAGCTTCGCATTTCCCCTCTTCCGCTGCGTGTGAGTTTGCCGGCCTCATAGAAAGTACCTGGAAAACACCCATCCAGCAAAAACTCGACGAGTATATCGAGGCGGATATGCCCGTTGAGATTCACTGGTGGGATGAGACAGATTTCATCGCAAACGGAATGGAGAGATTGATGCCCGATCGAGCAGCTATGGGAATGACGAAGGAGGAGAAGTTCAGAGTGGTGAAAATCGTGGGCGCAGAAACTTATCCTTGTGGTGGCACACATGTGGATAGTACGAACCAGTGTGGAAAGACGACTGTGAAGAAGATTGCGAGATCGAAGGGGACGAGTAGAGTCGGATATACGCTTGGTTGATGGAAATGACGTCAAAGTATGCAAATCCATAGCTTTTAGCGAAGCAACTATAATTGTAGACAAACGTGGAAAAGTCGTCCAAGGAAGATGGATATGACGATTCTGAGAATGCGGCGCCGTTCAGTTTATCTAGTATGCTATTACTGTCACTGCCAATTCCTCAAGCGTTAATAATTGTTTGCTAGTTGGATTGTAGGGAGTCAAAGCATGATGAAATTTTATACATATAAAAACTTAAATTTAGAAACTTTCATTCTGATTAGATGCTATTTGGGCGGGCTGGGCGGTAGAGGCGTTTGAGGGGAGGTTATGATAGGACAAAATAGAAATGACTACGTGAGAGAGGCAATCTTTTAGTTCAATTCTCTTCTCGCAGGAGATGGAGAAAGAATGGCTTTACCCCTCTCTACATTTTTTTTCGGACGGTGGTGAAAGACGAGAAGTGTTTTGGCTTCGGACGTTCCCTAGATTTCTTGATCAATTGAACTTTGAATGGGGCCGAAGATTGAAAAAATAATTTTAGCGTTAGAATGCTGAAACCTTTCTTAAAAATAAGCGTTGTCTAAATGTCCCAAATAATCAGACTATATACCATATTCGCCGTTTCCCCGTCCCTCAAAAGCAACCAGCTAAATCAAGGAATCATCGCTATTGACAACATGCAAAATATCCGCTATCCAGAGCCCGGATCCGAACGCCAGTAGGTATTTCCCCTCAAACTCCTTCAATCCAATCCATTACGCCATCCATCACACACTACCCAACACCCAAACTAACCCGCTCAATCCTCCGCATCCCTCCTAACATCTCTTTCTTTCTGCACATTTATCCCCGCCAAATCCTTCATCCCATTACTCCCCCTCTGTTTATCTCCCACCCCCACCCCACCCTTCTGAGACGCATATCCATAAGCATTTCTCCACCCCTCAATCTCCGTCTCTATCTGCGATTCCAAGTCCGGATCTACGACTCTCACGCCCAAGCTCTCTCCAAATCCACTATCCCCACTAAGCCCCGTCCCCGAACTACCATTTCTTCCATGTCGCTCGATCTCCGATGGGGTTCCCGAGTTTCTCTTCGCGCCGTCGAATCCAAATACGGGCTCTGTGTCTAAATTCATGTCTCGCTGTTGTCTAGGAAACAAAGTACCGGTAGTTCTTGTTCTACTGAGAGGGTATTCAGGGGATTCTTCACTATCGCTTCGATTCTCAAAGTAATCGCGCCGCATTTGGCCGAGCAAGGGGCGGAAAGTCGGGATCGAGGCGACGAGAATCCAGAGGTTGAGTTCGATTATTGCCCATAGACCGGCGTCTACGTCGTTGACTATTGCTTTCTTAGTTGATGGTTGAGGAGTTCGCATGTAAGATACTAAACTTCATAGGAGAGCGGTAGAAAATGGCTTGGAAGTTTGACTTACAAGTAGGATCAAAGCCCGGCAATCTTTGTGCAACAACCAGCCGCCATAGTCGAATTGCCGAAACTACCGTTACCCTACATTTTGGATTAGGGTGTTTGACCGGGTGACCATTATTCGATGAAACACTCACACAAGCCCTAACAAAAAAGTGCTGCTAATAGTAATCCGCTCCCCTACACTTCTCTTGATTTGCGCAATGAACCAAACTGGGATGGATAGAACCACAATATCAAAAGCAATTGTAAACGCTTCATTGGAAGTAAAGAAGACAGGGTAATCGATGCATTTTGCGGTAATTGTAGTGTTCCAAAAAGCTTCTACGGGACGACATGAGAAAATTCCCACAACGAGCTAGTAGAGGTATAGCATTAGTATTTTCTCTCTCAAGATCCTCTGACTGGCACTTGAATCGGCATAGCATCATATGAGGTGATATGGGGCGAAAGAATGTTTCAAAAAACTATGAAATTGAACTTTCAGACGGTATAGTTAGATGATGGTAAGAAATTAACTCACAGCAGCAACACCCCACGCCCCATTGATTGCACTGGCGAAAATAATTGGTACTTTCCCACCAGTGACAGCGAATACTCTCCAGTAAAGCGCTAACAGAGACAACTTGCTCGTGCTAAGAGCTATGGGATAGAGAAGAGCCAAAGCATATAGTCCTTTCAGATAAGCTTCAAGATGTTCCGGATCTGATTTGTGAACGTGTTGTCCGTAGAAGTTATTATTGACTTCAACAATTATAACTGCTGTATAGACGATTGAGAGGAGCTGGACCTGATGTTAGTTTGGGTTACGTATTGTACTGTGGGAGGAGTCTCTAGAGGGTGAGAATTACTGCTGCAATGAGAATAAACAATTCATCCAAGCCCAGGGGAATTTTGGTATACCAGCGGGAAAAAAAGCGGATAGCAACAGTACACACAGTCAAGGCGATGAAAGCAATTGATACCGCCTTCAATAGAGGTCCTTCATTGGCTTCGAGGTTAATACCTGGATAAATTGGTGTTGTAAAAGACATTGTAGATACTCAACAATTTAAAAGCTCACTCGAGAATTTGACGGAAGATCTGGATGCTTATAGATTCCTGCAGGCCTTCACAGCCTTGGTACTACTTTAAATGGAAGTTTGCTTTTGCGATCCGCAACTGGCGGCACGGCATGCTTCTTATCTGTCTAGCCATAAAGCAAATTCAGTTTATGATCAAGGAGAACGGGAAAGAGCACTTTCTGGAGGAGGAAACTCGCGCAACCTACCCCAAGAAGAGTAAGTGTCAATGATGTGATGGCTCTACGTACAGGGCACGGTTTTGTATTGCCACACTCTTCCGATCACAATAATGAACAAGGGAGGGCTACAGATGATTCGTAATTTTTCGAATTGGAGTCTCCGCATTTTCAAAAGTAAACATGATGAAAACAAAGACACGTGATCCTAAAAATGTCCAAAATAGTGGTCCAGAGATTGACTGAACTAACTCCTTTTGTCGCAGTTTGCGAACTCCCCTGCACGCAAAGAATTTCTCCGATATGTTTGATGTCGGAATTCTTGCTCCCTGTAAGAATACAGGTCTTTGAAACTTCATTTATCCATGTTTCAGTTCTCTGACTCCAGGTCCAATGTCATACTGCTTACTTTGATCGTGTCTGGAAAATTATACACTTACTCTCGCGACAGAAGTACTGCAGAACACCACAGGATGCCAGAATCATCTTCATCCACGTTGCAATGATGTCAAACAACTGCTGGTAAGACGAGCAAATGATCAGCCGGCTTTGCTGTGATGCGGAAGCAATCCTTTCTCGTACAAGCAATGTCTTGATGTTCCCCTCAATAATGCGGCGTAAAGTTTTTCAATCCTCGTGCAAGTGGCTAAAGAGCATTTGTACCCTCCGGTCATAACCAAGTGCCATGGTATCAGGGGAGGAGTGACCCGTCTCGACTCGTATACCCTGAGAGCAGTAGTTGTACAGTTCGGATCAAAAGAGCGTGATGGATTGGTACATGAAAGACTCGCATACGAGAGAACTCAACGATGGAAAACTTAGCATCAAAATTGCGGAAGCAAAATTTCAGTCTGTTGAGGGATCTCAGGAGGCTCTACCTTCTCTAGCCGGGCTTCGTGGAAGGGCTGCAGTGCCCCTTGTCAAAGCTTCCACGAAGACAATTCTCCATTTGAAGTCAAGCTTATTCCTATTACGACTCGGTTGATCTTGCTCATAACATTCACAGCACTAGTTTGGCTGCAGACACATCAGATCGAAAGGATTTGAGTCGTGTTGAATGAAGCAAACAATAGATTACTAGTGTAAAAATAGTGGAATCGTTGATTGGACATGAGCATGAGATGGACTCGTGACCAGAGAGTTGCTGTGGCCTTGGTTAAAAAAGAAGTCCCATAGTAGCTGATGTATGCGGAAGTCATAGTTCCAAAAACTACACCTTCGATACGTCTGACTAAGGCAGGGCATCATTTGATCTCACTGAAGATCTAGCATACCTGTAAAGGAACAAACGAACAGCGTCCAATACCTGGAAATGTGCGTGTATTATTTGCTAATGCCATTCGCCACAATTGAATATGTATGAGTGCCAGCCTGCTACAAAATGATAGAGTGATGAAGAAAGCGTTTTTCCTAGCTTTGAGACCCTCGACTGAAAAAGCTCTGAATGTGTCGTTGCTGAAACGAGGTGATGTGCCAACCTCAAGTATCCAGAGAATTTCAGCATGTTTCTTCAAACCATAACTTCGCTTCTACATCGACTTGATGCCACACACGTCAGTAAAATCCATTCGATACCTCACCAACAATCAATGTATTGGCCCGCGTCGGCATCGTCGTAAATCGGTCCACAAACCGGACATACGTGGTGTGAACGGAATTGCCTCTCCCGACCAAGCTTCTTTCTCGACAAAAGATAGCGTCTACGAGGGGTTTCGTGAACAACTTGGCACCTTGACTTGTATTTTTGTTATTTCGTCGAACGTCGGAAAACTCAGAGGTACGATGATACGACATCGTCTCCTGGATTTCCACCCACTTCCGAAATTCCGAAGCCATTGAAACCCAAATCTTATCTTTATTAAGAACTTGTGAACGTTAATCCAACATATGGAATAAACTTATGCTCGGTGCTCCTCTCATATCACATGCCTCTCATATCATGCCGAATACCCCGGAAGACATAAATTCTCATTTTATAAGCTTTCCTCTATACCTACACTCTCGAGTCTGATACCAAACTTAGAATTCATTTGAGGCTGACTCTCCATTTATAATTCAGGCACAAAAGAGGACACAGGAGCAGCCAAATCGATGTTATGTGTACATATATGTGTGGGGCGAAAGTTTGCATAATAGCACATCGCTATCTCGTATATACCTCCGTCTATCTGTAAAGCCAGAGCAGAAATAGACAGATGCAGGGTCAATTTGAGCCGAGCAACGTTTGGTTCATGGAGTGGAAATGAGGTCTGGGTCTATTAGCTATACGTGGGTTGAACTTGAAACCTATATTTGTTCCCTGGAAAACCGTTAGTACCCCGAATATAGTGATACTAGTGGAGTTTGCCATATTGATTTCCCGCTTTGATAAATATCGTGATAACTTGAAACAAGTATATATATGGTTCAACTCAAAAATTGAGCAAAACTGGACGAAAGACCCTCGAAGGACCATAGCTTGGGGACTATTCGGACGAAAGTAGGAATGTTTTGAATTGTTTTGAGATGAGGAAGACGGGGGAGCAGTGGGGAAAACTTTATATCAAGGGGTAGGTAAGGTTGGAGCAGTGGCTTTGAGTGGCTCTGAGTGGCTCTGAGTGGCTTAGACAGGTCACGAATGTCGGCAAATCGGTGATTGATCCATATTAAGATTTCCCGTTGCAAGGTACTCCATCGATTCCTTGACCCGAGAGATTGGTGGACTTGCCAGTTTCCTGTCGTGGACTCGCGGAACTTGTGTAAAGTTTAAACAAGGGAGAGAGCAGGTAGGTATGTATGTATGCAATTGACCGACTATAGTCGATGTAGTTATCCGGATCTTTACAGAGCAATCTTCTCGAGTATTTGATTCTGCTCGGCCCAATATTGAGTAAACAAGGCATCTCTTATTAATAAACCAACAAATTACAACTGATACCTAGCAATTGGTCAATTCTTCCACTGTTCATTCGTTCATTCATCCATTCATTCGTTCATTACATTGTCTTATAACCACTAATTACATCGGAGCTCCTTTCATTCGGACCCCATTCGCTCGTTCATTCATTCACCCATTCGTCGTTCGCGCACTCTTATTTTGATGATACCTACCGGAATGGACTGTGACGGCAATTATCAGTAACGACTTGCATTCCATGGAGACTATAATACACGAAGACTCTCCGCTCGCCGCCTATCTCGAAGGTATGCATGAAGAGGAGGGGGATATCTTGCACTGCATGAGTGGGGACTTACTGACATGTTGCCATAGGAGAAGGTGGAGAGGACACACGATGGGCATCAAGCCATGATGGGGATGCGGATTCTGATTTGTCGAGTCCATCATTTGCTCCACGAGGGAAGCCAACCGTATCTCTTAAATTTCGATATAAACTTCCTCCGCCTCTGCAGCTTACCCCTCCGCGCAACACCACTGTCGCGGCGATACATAATACCTGTTCCGTAAGTCGTCATCTGGGCCTTATCCAAGTCCAAGTCTTATCGTCTGATAATCAATCGCAGGAAGCTGTCAATTCACGACTTGGTCGAGCCGACAATGCAAAGTTTCTCGAACGATTCCGTTATGTCATAGTAGCTTCACAACTTCTCAACACACATTCCTTTCTTGCGCAGACAGGCCATGGCCAATCTCGAAACGTTACAGGGCCTACACTTGATGCTCCGCAAATTGGAACCTTCACTCTCTCGGGCGCCGCAGCCACGGCAACACTTGCTTTTTCTTTTACATGGTTAATACACTGGACACGCGGAAATGGAACTTTTATACGTGGGAAGATCCGTGTAGCAATACTATCTTTTACCGTAGTGGTTTCTGCTATAGTATTATATACATATGTGCGGAAGCAGTGGCTCCAATACCTTCGACAGCAATCTATCGTGGAAGCATCGCAATTTGTCCACAAAGCACAGGAGTTTGATGCCGTTGCGGCAGGAGCTCTAACACTTGTCCAAGAAGTTGAACTGGTATCTCGTGGATATAGACTGTAGGATTTTTCACCATTCAACTTACTGGCAAAATTAACCTCTTAGTAGAAGCACACCCTTGCCCCCCGTCAGTCGTCTCGAAGATCGAAGTCAGACACGAAGATGTCTACGGCTCAGAAAGATCCTCCGAATTTCCTTTGCGAACATTATTCCTCGATATATACAAGCATGTAACTTATTGAAGCCCTTAGCGGAAGAGATGGATCTGGATAAATACTATGATGTATACGACATAAGCGATTTGGACTATACGGAGGCTATGCTAGGCTACACAGAAGGCGAATTCGAGGATGAGGATTCTGTCAGGGTATTGAAAATATTCGCTGCTAGATTCCACACTATTCGAAAGATTTTTCTTTGTTGCCTTCTTGCATTTGATGCGCATGGCGGTAAACCGGACTTTCACAGATGGGGACTTGCTGTTGACGAATTACACACACTTTGCTCCGTCACTTCTGAGGCAGAGGGTAAAATTCGTCGTATATTAGGCGAAGAAGAGAGTAAGTTCGAAACCATTTGTCACTATCGTTCAAATCTAATATCCTATAGATTTCCCGGTTCCAACCACTCCAAAACTACCCCTTACTCCGGGACGAGAACGTGCGCGGGCACAATTACGCAAACTGAATACGCTGTCATCTGGGATCCGTGGACTACAAGCGAAATTGCATGTTTTGCGCGAGGAGTCTGATAAATCATTGAACGACACAGAAGATGTATCGGAACTCGGTTCAAATCTGATGATGCAATACGATTCAATAGGCATTGACTTGAAAGCATTGATGCAAGAGTGGGAAGATGGGAAAGCTG